GATGCAAACCCTTGATTTGCGTTGGGATTTTCCTGCTGACGCAGCTGCTTGCAGCAGATGGGTCAGTCAGACGTCACAGAAGGGGTCAAATGCTACGCTAGCAGAATTGGTGCAGAGTTTGTGAATGGAACAGGCATTGGTTTAAGGCATTTAAAGAACTATTCACAATACTTACAATCCTTTCTCATAAAGCGTTCTTACGATAATCTCAGCACTCTAGACAACGTAAGTCACCTAAATACAAAATAATTTTGACTTGTGTGTATGTTTGACAAGGTGTACTATTTGCATCTGGCTAATCCATGTCCTGCTTACTTAGACTCCTAACCATGCAGCCCTCACTCAGTCTCCGTCATCCCTGAAGATGCCTTTGAGCACCGCCCTTGGGATGGAAAGCTGCTCTGAACAGGGGACACTACACCACCACGAACTTGTTTTTAACCTTAAAGGTGATGCAAACATATACCGCTGATATAATTGCTTGTTTAAAAGTAGAGCTGAAATGTCTTTCTCTGTGTGAGGTAAAGAAGCAAGAAAATAGATTTCCATTTTCAAATACTAAGTGAAAAGTATTTTAAATTTGCTATAATGATTAGTTCAAGAAAACTGGAGAAATGAATTTGTAGTCGTGAAATCTATTTTGTATGTCCACTCACATTTAAGGCTTTGGGAAAACAGTTCTCTTGCCAGCTAGTCCTCCCAGTGGCTTGGAGTGCTGTCCTTGACCACCTGCGGCCCCTCGGGGGCACACAGGGTCAAGAACGTCTACGGTGAAAACCAGAGTGGTGTAGGGCTGCCCCCTTACCTCCTGGGTAAACTCAATCACACGCCACATCTGGCTTCTCCCTCAGAAACCTGACACACCACAGGTTTACCAGAACGCTGCATGAAGAGAAAAGTTAAATTTTGTACAAAACAGTAACATCAGTAAATTAAGAGGATGGTTCCTTTGTCTAGTAGAAGAAAACACAAGGTGAGGTTCAGAAAAGTCGCTCTCACGGCCATCCTAGAGTTCTCGGAGCCCCGTGAAATGTTCAGACACTGAGTCAACGAGGTGCCCTTTCTGTACCTGTAGCAATGAGTTGTAGGCATCAACTGGGAATTGACAAAAAAAAAAAAAAAATCCCAGCTTCAAGCTCGCCTGTAGTCCTTGTTTTTCTTGGCAATGTCTTTTTATTAAGAAGTGCATCGTGCTTTTCCCGCATTATTTCCCACCAGGCCCCTGGAATACAGCATCATGACAGGAAAGTAGGCTGTGGGCTGCAGAGAGCGGGGCCACTGTGGCGGACGTGAGGTTAGCGCTGCAGGCCCCGCGCCTTGGCCTGCTGTCACCCTCCCGGGCCCACTTCCATCCGAACCCTGCAGGGCCTCCCTGCGCAGGCAGCCAGGCAGGAGCAGTGGCGTTTGCAGCTGCGCCCCGACCACCAGCGCAGCCCTCCGCGCGCCCGCGCTGCTGGTCAAGGCCACTCGAGCTCCTGTGCCCCTCGGAGGCGTGGATGTCACCTCCGGTCTGCTGAGAAGCAAGCTTTAGCCCGCTTTAGAGCCCCGCCTTCAGAGACCCTGAGTCTCAGCGGACGGTTTCAGCTTTCTCTTGGGGAGGAACTTACTTTCCTAGGTGAGCAGGAGTGGTGGCACTACGGGCAGCTCCAAGCCGCTGCCAGCAGAAGTGCAACCTACGGGCAGCGCTTGAGGGTGACAGTGCCTTACGAGAACTCTTCCCATTTTTATTCTTTTATTCGGTTTTTTAAACGTTCGCTGTGCCATAGTGAGGGACTGTCTCTGCGCCTTCTAAATAAAATCTTAAAATTCTCTTTTGAGAGCCTCCAAAGTGTCGGGAGCACGGGGACCCGAGGTGCGGTGTGCAAGGGCCCTCAGAAATGCGGTGACTTGAGCGGCCACGTCGGCCCGGCTTGACACGTCTGCGAGGACAAAGGCTCGGAACCCTCCCGAGAGGCTGTGAACAGCCTGGTTTCTGTTTGGACAGTTCAGAGAGTTCTGGAGCAGGAGCAGGCGGGGAGAGCCTAAGTTCTGAAGGAAGCCGGAGTGAAAATAGAGGGATGGCGATCCCCTGGGTTTCAGCTGTGTGTTCATTTCACACTGCCCTCAGAGCAGCTCTGTGAGAAACAAGGAGAAAGGAGAATCGACGGGCGCCGGCTTCGGAGCCTTCCTGCAGCTAGGCGGCCTCTGCAGCGTTCTGCGGACAGCCACCGTCCCCTGC